ATTTTCTGCAATAACCTGAAGTCTCATGGGAAAAGCACCTTTGGATTTTTGTCATGGAACCAAGACATTCTGTCTCTATAACCGATGCACTGTTGAATGTCTGAATGGTCAAGTATTTGGGTGAAACCACATTGCAAGAACATTCTTGGTCAGTCACCTTTGTTTTAAATATCTAAAGTAATGTTTAATTTATGCTACTGTGGTTGTATCCATTTGTGGAGGTATTTGCCTATGGACCCTATGGACAAAGGTTTTCACCCAATACAAACATGCTCCCAAGCAGTCCTCCAAACACTTTGTAAGTTATAAGTTTGCTCTTCTTTGCGGCTGGCTGATGGACAAACAACAGCACAACCATAAGTAGACCACAGACAAGTAGTACTACATATTTTTGACGCTGACCCCTTTTGACAGCTGATACTTTGTAGGTGGAGAGGCAGTTCAGAGCTGCCCACAGCTGTCAATGGACTGTCCACACACTACTGAGCCGTAATTTCCTCATAACATGTCTGTTAAGCTCATGAATGAGACCTCTTGGATCTTTATTAGGGTCGTAATGATCCAGCAACCCCCCAGGTACCACAATTTATAGCTTAAAGATGTGTTTGAACAATCAAGTGTGAGAGTAAAAAGATTAAAGAAAGTGTCAATACACACCTCCTCTGTCTTTCCTCCATTCACTTTCATCCTTTCAGGAAGGTCAAACTCAGTGTTTGATAGCCATCGTTGACACAGCTCTGAGGGTTGTGGCAAGCACCGGTGACTGTTGTAAGAGGAGAGCTGAACTTACACCCTCTGTTCAACTCCACCAGGCATGGGACTCCCTGTGGCGTGAAGAAGATGCTTGCTCTTTTCCCAGGCGTTGTTTTTGATGCTGGATGTACTTTGTTGTTGTTGAACACTTCACACTGTGAATATACGGGAGGTTGAGCTTCATTTCTTTTTGTGAAAATGTGACATCGTCTCTTGCTAAATTTTTGCTGACATCAAATTCCAGTCAAGAGTTGGACGTTGTTTTTTTATTGAATATTGATGATTTAAAAGTTAGTCCTACCCAAAGATGTTGTGTGGGAAAATAAACCGGAAAATGACACTATTTAGCCAAACAGGACATTGAAGTGCTTGCTTGCACTGAATATTCAACATATTGTAATCCTGTTAGACTCCTAATGGGGCTGAGACAGCATATGATTACTCATCCACAGGGTTGGAATGTAGACAATATATGATGTGTGCTGCCAATCCCCTAGGCTTTTGGAGAGTTAAAGTGACACT